ACTTACAATAATAACCACTGTTGTACAATTTAGGGATGAAATTTTAAAAAATTAGGATATTGAAGTTTTGTCGTGAGTTATCACAAGAAAAAGAACGCTTTAATTAAGATAAACCTTCATGTTCATCAAGAACGACGAACATTTGTATTCGAGCTGTGTACATTGTTATCCTTCTTCTTAGAAACAAATGCGTCTACATATACAGCGTTGACCATAAATAGCCCTACGATAGAAAATTGAAATATCTCCCCTTCGATTAATAGTATAAGTTTAATCAAAGTTCTTTTTTCCATACAAATAACATAAACAAAAACTAATTAAGTTCTTGGCTTCATAAAAGAAATTTCACCTATTCATTCATTAAGAAAAACACATATGAAGCATTTCATAGATGATTTGAAGTTGTCATCTAAGAATATAATGACTCAAAGTGAACTTTATCAATTATACCATATTGGTGGACACATTCGGCACTAAAGCACTAGCTTCTTTGCATGAAACGAGTATTTCTTGTTTGAAAAGTTGAAATTTTATAATCATTGACCTTTCAACAATCTAGTTTTGATAATTTATTCTATGTGCATGAATACAATTCATTTTGATTTCTTCTTACTAATTCTTTTAGATGCTACTGAAAGTTATCGATGAAACGTTTTACATGTATTTTTATCACTTGATAGTAGGTAAAATTGCTTTCACAATACCAACAACAACACTTAATACCATTGTTTTTTTTACGTTATATGTATGAAACACAAGCTTTGAATCCACTCTTGCCACTAACCAAAATATTAGCCTATTTGCTATTAAACTAACTCGGAAATATTTCATTTTTTTTTATCGTGATGTTATTTTATGATCTGCCCTGTAAAATGTTTCTCATTTTATTTTCCTTCTCTTCATCATGCTTTTAATAGCGTTGAACGTTGATCATGGTAGTTTAGATGAATTCAGCCATAAACCAGTAGATGAGTGTTTGGAAAAGAATGAAACGATACACACATGATTTAATTCATGAAACAACACTATCATCTTTTCCTATATAATCATGTTTTTAAAGATATATGAAATGAATTCATTGAAAATCAAACACATCAGGCAGATTAGTCCCATTGGACATAATTTATTTCATTAGCAATGCGTGATTAAAAATATATTTGTTAATTTATTTTAGTTTCTTTTTCTTGGTAACGATTAGGTGCGAGCATCTGTGTGGGGGCGAATATGAGCGTAGATGAAGGTCAATCGTTAACTCACATCCACACTCAAACTTGCTAAGAACTGTATTAAAGAGTCAATCAATTCACTGTTTTATTTCTAACGAACACTATTTTTCTCATAAACGTTGAATCTACCAACATAAAAAAACCTTTATTAGTTCTAACCAGTTATTTTTATACACTTAGTTTGACAAATAATGTTATGCCAATATCTGATACAACTGACGGACAACGTTTGATTGGAAAACAAATGTCTTCACAAATTTCTTAATATTGGTCGATCTATTTATGAAAAATTATATAAGACGGTTGGCCTTCAGAATCATATATCAACAATTGAATGTAGTCTTAATATGGAAATAATTCTATGAAATCACATTTTTAAAGATCATAAGGTAATAACCTTTGTCGAAGTATTTATAGAATACCATTTAATGTTTCTACGAGTATCAAATTCATTGACTGAATATAATTCAACAAGAAAATAGCGTCACAGATATGTTTCCTAAAGATAAAATGCAGTTAATGGAGAATTGATTTAGATGAATATTATTCCATATTGAATATTACTTTTTTGAATTCTATCATGAAAATAGTCTTGATTTATTCGTTCAACTAAAATATATGAGAATCCATAAGAGTTTTCACCGTATGCAAAGTAATCAAGCAAACAATGATTATAAAATCTTATACTCAAATACCTATATCTAACGTGAAAAGAAGTTAATGATAGAGTTGTATATGATTTAGCTGATAGTTGCAGAACAATAAGCCAAGTCTTATTGAAACATTATCCAGATCATGAAATGCTGGACTTCGTTTGACATATATTACAATGAATGAATTTAATGAAGGAATAATACGGTGTCATGAATGCAAGAAGATGAATGTTGTTTTCGTTTACTTTTCTAACATTACTTTTTAATTTGAGAATAATGTTTCAGCTGGTGATGAGCCCTCAAATGATACTGAAAGACAATAGATCCAAACGGGTTATATTAATCATATGAATACCATCATGTCAAAATTGCTATGAGAGTATTAAATGAATACCGACCAACGACTTAATCATAGATAATGATACATAGTTAGGATGATGTTAAAGATGTTTATTGAAAACAAAATAAATCCTTGTGGTATATTGACATGGCATATTAGCAAACTTTTTTTTCTTCGTTCTTTATATTGGTCATGAACCAGCGACTATTTTTTGTAGTCAATTGTTGTGCAACGTTGATCATATGAACAACAATTTTATGTATTTTAATATTGATCACTTGTACAAAAATTTGTGTTGATTTTTTTGTACTAATGTTGATTGTGTTTGTGCAAACAATTATCGTACCAAATGAACTAAAGATGGATGAAATAATACCATTAGTAATAAAAATGAAATTGGCGATATTCAATTTTTCAGTATTCGAAAATTATTGAGTGAATAGAAATTACCTAGAATAGTAGTAAGTAAGACTAGAACTTTTTTTAATCACAACAACTTTGTCAATGAATCTCAATATCTAACATTTTTACTTAACACTTGAATAGATACATATACGAATTATAGATAGCATCTCAGAGACAAATTGAGAAGTTTTTATGGTTAAATAGTTATTCTAAGCTGAATACAAACGACATTTACTCGTAGACATGATTAGAAAGTTTTGGAAAAACATGATTTTTTTTTCAAACATGACGCTATAGAAATCAGCCAAGTTATTTTCATTAGACGATACTGACCAACTTTTGCTAGATTCCATAATCGACTTTTATGCATGCTCAAAAGTTTCATGTAGTGGAAATGTCGATGACGTATTAATTAGTTAGAATAAACAGATTTGAAATTTTTTTTCTATTGAATTTCTATTTATTCACTTATTTTAAATAGCTTAGTGCTAATATTGTTCATAAAAAGTATTAGAGTTTTTAATGAATATAAAAAGTCATCTTTGAACTTTTTTCAGGGTAGTAGAAAGAAAAGGAAAAAACTACGAAGTTTTATTTTCATTTGAAAAAGAATCTGAAAGACATAAGGGACCGAAATACAAATTTGAAGTTCTAAGACTTCGATCATAGAAAAGTATACGAATCAATATATTTACTCTTTCACAATTTTCTCAACGATGTTGATTATTAAATAGATCGATTCATTAATTTTTGAATTCGAACTTATTTATTTCTCACTTGAATACTATTCCAACGAACGACATACAACAACGAAATTGGCATCATTTAGAACGATCATAATCACATGCTTCTCCTATTCTTTACTCTTTTCATGTGAATGATACTATTGCACTAGAACAAAGTTCTGAATCATACGAATATTAGGATGCCGTTGTGGCTTTATGTCCATATGTTCAGTTATTAGTGTTAGCAGCAGAACCAATTATTGTTGTAAATTTTTTCTGTTGGTCCATTTTATGTGTTGTAATTTATCCCAGAAAAAATAAAATCAAATGACTTAAATTTATATCATATGTTGGAATTTTTTCATGATGCTTCTATTTGTTTTCGATTGTTGTTGCTGCTGACCGTCTACTTAGTTTCGTATCACTTAAGTACTGTATTTCTTTTTAATCTGTTATTATCGGTAGTATCTGAAGAAAACGAAATAATGAGAAAGAAAAGCAATTTATTATTACAACATTATCTCATAGACTGTGTCACATTTTACTTTCTTTTATGATGTCTGGAGGCTTTTTTCTCATCGTCAGCTTATATTTTCGCGGATATGGGTGAAGGAAACACTCTCATCCATTCACAAGCATACTCTTTGAAGAACTATTTGTAGGCAAACGGAATGTCCTCGGGAAGAGTAGGGAACAATGGTACAGCCTTGATCTCAATACTTTCACTGCATATTTGAGCAACTATTAACTGAGTTTTCACGCTTGAAATCGACACTATAAAAAAATCGTAACTTTGATGCTTATGTCGAGAAAGTAAAATAGAAGCAAATAATTCACAGAGGACTACATACATACTGCAATTCATATCATGCAAAGAACTTGATTTTCATATTTCAGTAGTACAACATAAGCATAGTTTCCAGATATGCTCTTAGCTATTTGATTCCAATAATTGAGATCTGAGTATTCATTTTCGACTAAGAATTTTCATTCTAGAATGACAAACATTTTTTTCTTTACAAATGAAGCATTTAGATCGATCAAGTCTATGAATCCTATCATTACCATTCAGCGATTCATTTTTAGATGAGATTGCAAAACTCGTTTACGAAAGATGAAATAGAAATGTAACAAATATAGATGTTGACTTTCAGAAAAAGAGGATCATTTGCAATCAATCACGTGAATATGAAGATAACATAATATGACAATAGTATTCTATGAATTTTTTTATATGTCATTCTATAGATATGGTACGCATCAATCATGTCTAATATTTGTCATAGTTTTAACGCAAACTTAATAATAATTGTTAATCAAGCTAGTTTGGTGAAGTTTAGTCTTTGATATACTCTTCGTGCTCTGCCAGACGGGATTTTTCGATTTTTTTTTGTACGCTTTTGTCTGAAACGAAAGAAGCATATCAAATTCGAAATTATCAAAGAAAAATTTCAGCGTCCGCTCAAAATTTAAATACTATGACATATATTTAGTTCTGATATGGTCAACCATTGTAACTGCTCGACAAATCGCGAAATACAACAAAAATGCACATTTTTAAGACAGGTGACTTTTATTCACATTGACCTGTATTTATTTATTGTAAATATTGTTATCTTTTGAAAAATAAATAAAATTTCATTTCAAATTTTCATTTTGTCATTTCTACCGTTGTTGTATTAGTTAATTGTGCTCTTGTTTTTTCGTCTTTATAACGCATAGCACATCGTCGTTTATAAGGTATCCAAATTGTGCAAAGAAGAATTAAGATTTGATAAATAAAAAATAGAGAACAAAATATAAAAAATGCATAACGATCTAAACGACACAGAGAATATTCTGGATACAACGAATGATGAATTTCATTAGTTGTAATTGATGGTTGAGACGCAGTTAAATATATTTGATTATAATAAAAATAACTAATTATACCATGAAAGATATTTATAATACATAAAGCAACAATAGATGATATAGCATAAACTAAAAAATTCAAAAAATAGCTTAAAAAAAAAAATTTCAGCTGTATATCGTTCATTGAGTGTATCGATTTCTCCAACACGTGAAAAAATACATCCCATGTCGTGAGAATCACCGCGATTTTCGCGATTTTCTAAAAAATTGGCGTAAAATCGTGATTTGTCGTATTTCTTTAAAAGATCGACGATTATATCAGATTTTATCGCGATTATGGGAGAAGAGCTGATTTTCAAAAATCATTGATAAATCATGACAATTATTCATTCACCGTTTTGTTATGAACACACACGGATATATAAACAACGCCGTTCAATGCATAACAAAAAAGTTTTCGAAATATACTTTTCTGATAAATTGTTTCTTGGTTATTTTTAATGAAGGAAATGCCAATCCCGATCCATGGTCTGGAGAGGACTACATTGAAGCGGTCTGATAAGAATCAGACCAGCTCGAGATCGAACAGATCGCACGATCTGGTCGGCTTGGATCTTGAGAAGAAAAAAAATTGAATTAAATTCAAGAAAAAATCCAAATATGTGTCTCCAAAAGAACCAATGAAATAGTAGAAAATATCAGTAAACAGACGGTTAAATCTTGCTTAAAACCACGATTTATCGTAAAAATCGCTGGAATAATCGGGAATAATCGGCGATTCTATCGCGATTCAGCTCACGATTATCGTTTCGATGAATCGGGATTAATCGGCAATTTTTAGCCGATTCAAAGGACATGGGATCGAACACGAATTTCAATTGGCTTCTTTTTTATTAAATAATTTTCAATTTCATTCTCATTAGTTTTCGATGTGATTGCTTTTGTTCCTGTTGAACTCGTGCATTCATTCGATGATTTACTGGTAACAACAGATATACTTTCATCTTGTGTAAAAGCTCTAGAAACTGATACTTGACGTGAACAAAGATTATCTATACGATATAAACTACTGTTAAGTGGTGTATTTTTATACATTGATAATGATATTGGTGGTGCATTAGAAGAAAGAGGAGAAGTAGAAGTTGAAATTTGGTTTGCAGAAGATTCTTGAAAATGTGGATATGATATTGATGTTGATTGTGGTTCCAAACAAAATATTGTTTGAAGTGATTGAGCAGGTAATGATTGATGATCATCTGGATGATTATTCTCGATAATATGTATTACAGGATCAGTTAGAATTTTTTGATAATGAGCATGATGTTGATAATGACCAGCCCCAACTAAAATATAAGACAAAATAACAAATAAATATTAGAAATATTTATACGTATGTTAACTTACGTAATAAATTACTGTTTGCATTTATTGCCATTCTTTGTTTTTATTAATTTCTGGTAATTACTATGGAAAATTTTGTTTCTTATTCAAATGAATATTATAAAGGATATGGTTAAAGCTAATATTATGAGAGAATTCAGTTAGTATATCACTAGGTTTCTTGTTAGAGATATGCAGAACCAATGTGGGTGTGGGTGTGGATATGGATATGGGTGCTCAATTCTGTCTCAGCAACACCCGAACCCTTGCTGCCGACCATATGACTTCCTCATTTAAGGATTCGTAGAAAATTTACCATTTCTGACATCACGGAAGAGAAGAGGGTCCTTTTTGTGAGTGCGTTACCGGCATATATTTTTCTTATAAAATATGCGAACCATACAGTCAATTTAGATGAAATTTCCAGACATTAAAGAATTTCATAGTATCCATCTATGCACAAAATTTCGAGACTCTAAACTTAGTTATTTCCGAGAAATTGAGATTGAAACTTGCCAAAACTTGAGTGCGTTACCTGCGGGCAAGCCGATATGTTTTTATTCATTTTGGGTGTGGGCGTCGTTGATTACTTTATGATTATCCACACGCACACGCTCAATGATTCAATTTTCGCAAAATGATGATGCACATTGATCTGATACACACGAACGGTTTCGATCATCAGTAAAAGAAAAAATCAATTCTTAAGTCATTATAAAAAGAAATATTTTTAATTTTAGAAAGAATCTAAATTACATCATCAGAATTCTATTTATGCCTCAAATCCTACATCATCATCTTAATCTCGTCTTATTCGACAATCACCTGAAGAAGAACAATATCGTAGTCCTCAAGATCTTATTCGTCATCGTGGAGATAATGAATTTGTCATTCGTACTAATATTCTATCACAATAACAACAAGTCTATTCACCAATAAATCATCGTCTTCTTTTACAATATTCAAATAACAATCATTATCAACATCCAGATTTAGTGGAATGCGGTGGTTTAACATTGTCATCATTTTCATCATATCGTGAACAACAATCAATGATAATGAAATTTAGTAGCATAAGTGTACCAAAATCAGCATCAAATGGAAACAATACAGAACCATCAGAAAGACCTAATATTCATTTACCAATAATTATTCGACAAGCTCCATCACCACCACCTCTACCATTCATTCAGCTGTTTTTGTAAGTTCGTTTTATATTTAAGTCAGGTCGAAAAAGACGTGTTCTCCATCATTACCTTGATAAATTTTTAAACCGTCAAAAATCTATTTCAGACAAAGAACAACTAGACATTCATGAATGAAAAAGAGTAATTCGCTTCAGCCACATTCTGTGGTCTATTTTTTTTTGTTATAAAATATCGAGAATATGATTGGTTCCAAAAATGAATCCCTAACACTCGCTTACATATGGATGTCCTCGCTTAATTCACTTATTCATTTAATTTTCTCTAACATGTACAGGTTGTTGTACATGTTCGATAGATAGAACAATGTTAGACTAGACTGCTCGCACATGCTTTGTCTACGAATCTATTTTTCTTCGTCCGCTTCGTTTTTCATAGCAATATAGAGGCGTGCAAAGCATTATTTTTTTCGGAAACATCGTACACTATTACAAATAACAAGTACATTATGTGTCGACAATATTTCAACGTAAGTAATATTTATCGTTTCTTTATTTGAACTATTTCATCCTTCTTTTGCAGTCAGAAGAATTTGATTACACCAATTTGAATTTTGGTCATTTAAGTTTATACAAAATAAATTTAAGTCTATTTAATTAATTTAAGATTATTATAATTTTAGCGGCGATCAATGGATATCGAAGCAGCAGCAAATAAGAAACAAGAATTAATCAATGGTTTCCAAAACTTGATTAATGAAAAAGATAAGCGAATAGAAGCTTTAACTAATGAAAAAAAGGAAAATGAAAAGAAATATCAAGAAAATATTACAAAATTAACAAATGAAATTAGCCAAATAAAGGAAGATTTCAAAAATGAAAAGAAACACCAAGAAGATATTACAAAATTAACAAATGAAATTAGCCCATTAAAGGAAGATTTCAAAAATGAAAAGAAATACCAAGAAGATATTGCAAAATTAACAAATGAAAATCAGGAATTACAAAAAAAGTTGGTCGTTATACCTCAATCAAATACACCAGGGATTAACAATTATTTACGAATTATGGAGTCTATGGGTTTTTTTAATTCAATTGAATTTTGAAAAAAAAAATAACAGCCCATTTTTACCAAGACAGAGGAACTAAGGGGACTAAGGTGACTAGGGTGACTAAGAGGACTAAGGGGACTAACTAACCGGCCTAAGGGTAGGAATAATGGTGTACACAGAGACGTGCATGGGTCACGGCTCTTCGGGGGGCGCTTCACGCCCCCACGCCGCGACGCTGAAATAAAAGGTGTGTTAGATGGGGAAACACGCTTTCTCACTGAATAGTCCGCTTAGTCCCCTATTTCAATTTGAAATCAATTGCTCTTTTTTCTTTTTAAATTCAGATTGAATTTAAATAACCCATTGTATGGAATTATGGGTGGCGTACCAGGGATTTGCAAATGCTTAACAATTGTTGGTGGTGTACTTTTATACACAATTTATCGGCGAGGCAAATGAACCGCATTATTTCGATTCATAAACATCAATGTTTCTGGTTTGATTAAACTGTTATTGCTGTACTAGTAATTTTTCTTCTTTAGTTGCTCTTGTACTGGTAATCTGTCTCCTCCAACTATTGTTGTTCTTCTAGTTTGTTTTCTCTTTCAGCTTTTGTTGTACTTCTGATTTCTTCTCCTTCAATTAATTGTACTTGTGCTTTTTCTGTAACTGTTCTTCTAGTTACATTTTTTCTCCTGCAACCGTTGTACTTGTACCTTTAGTAACTTGCGTGTGTTATGCTTGTTTTTTCCTGCTCCAAATATTTCTCTCGGACTTTGTATTACTTCTTGCGCGTGTTGTACTTGTACTTCTCTAATTGTTGCACGTATTGTACTTGTTATTTTTCTTCATTATGTACCTTCTAATCCTTTGCGATTAAATAAAAATAAAATATTCTAATATGTATCAACAATGATACATACGAAAAAATATTTATACGTTGAATATAGACAAATAACAGTAATAGAATAAAAAACAACAACTACGCTTTACTGGTTAAATGGAAATAAATATAAAAGAAAACTATTCTAATCTAAATTTTCATTGTTTATTTGTTGATTATTTAAATATGATACATTGAGTATTTTCAGAATAGTTTTCTAAACCTGTTTTTATCTATTGCTTTCATGGACCTGAATAATAAACAGTAGCAATACCACTTAATGTTATATTTATTTCATCAATAACTGTTATATAAATAGTTCCAATACTACTTGATATAAGATTGATTTTTTGTGTTAATAAATCTCGACATTCAACAGCACCAACACCTAAAGATTTTAATGTAGCTTCATTATTAACTTGTCCACATAATTTAATACGACCTATTGAATGAAAGATAAGCATCAAGAATATTAACATTTAATTTTAATTTTATTGAGCCAGTATCACGATTATGTAAACGAAATATATTTGTTTGAATTTGATTTATACATTGAATATAATCATTCCATCAATATGAAGTTCATTTAATTGTTGATACATTATTAATAATGTTATATTTGTTTTATTATATATATTTAAATTTTCTATCATACGAATTGTTAATATATCATTTTGTTCAATATCAATTGAAATTAATTTATGTATTGATTGTTCAGTTTCAACATCAACTGATGTATAATTATCATTTGAATTTATATTACGATACAGTTTAACGTTAAATGGGCCACCTAATAAATTAATTTTTGTAAATGAACGACTTGTCAATGAATGAATTTTATGAGTCATTGAAGTCGATGGATTTAATGAAGATGATGGTCATGATGCACTTAGAGAAGGTAAATCTGGCCTAAAAAATTATAATTTCTTTGTTGTCCATTTATTAAATGAAATAGGAAAAAAAGATTCAAAATCAAAATCATTATTGCTTGTGTTTTGTATATGAACAAAATATACAAACTGAGCAATGATAATCTTTTTCTTTTCCCTTTACATAAGAACAATAACTCATTGAATTGCAAAAATATTTGAATATATATGTTGTAGTCAAAATTAAAATTCAGTCAAATTTCAAATTTGACTGAATTTTAATTTTGACCACAACATATATATTGACCTCGAGAATGAATAGGACATATAACCATAATGAGGATATCTTTTACTATCATACTTTATTTACAATAGAATAAAACAAAAAAATTTGAAAGTGTTTTTTTAAATTTTATGTAATTCTTCATATACTTGATAACCTTCTTTTTGATATTCTTCAGCAGTTCTAACTCGATTAATTGAATCAAGTATAGCACAACCTACAATAAGAATATCAGCATCACGTCCATAAATTGCTTGCTATGGTGTTACATATTGTTGACGAAGTTGATCACCGGTATTATTCAAATGAACACCTAATTTAATATATCGATTACAAGATTTTTCTTAGATCATATTAAACAATTTACCTGGAGTACAATGAAGATATTTATTACTAGTTGTTAAATGTAATTGGGAAATAAATCCAATAACAAAATCCGAATATTTATCAGTACATCTTATCACACCTGTATTAGAAACAAGAAAAACCTTGTTTGAACAATGTAGATTTTTTGATTCGAACCTTTAACATAATCTTCATTATCTGTAAGAGCTCCTTTTGATGACATTTGTGCTATTAATAAACATCCACGTGGTTCATTGATTAATTGTGCTGTCTAATGTTTATTATTTTATACAGAAAAATAATTTATTAAATTTTCCATTCTTATAATTCACTTATTCCGATGCTTGTACAATACCTACACCGGGTAAAACATGAACATTAACAAAATCTGCCCATTCAGCAATTCGAAAAAGACCTTTTGTATATTGTAATGTTACAGTATTACCAATATCAGCAAATTTTCTATATATAATAATAAATGAAATAAAATTTATTGTATATTCATTTTTTATTACCGATCTTCAAGTAAAAGAAAATTAAATTTTCTTGAAATATCTTTTAATTGTTGAATTTTATCCATTGAAAAATCCGTTAAAATATCACAATGAATTTTTAACATACAAATATTTGATCCAATTTGTTTAGATAACTAAAATCATAATAATGTAATTACTAAAAAAAATTCTATTTAATAATTTCATCAAGACTTATTAAATCATCAGATAAGCAAAGATTACTTTTTTTCTTTCATAATTTTTTGAAATTGTTGAAGAATAGGAATAATACTTTTATTTTCAATTTCAGTTTTTAATGCAGGTAATTGAGTTTGATTTTCACGTATAAATATTTGAGCATTCTTTGAAATTCCTTCAGTAGTTTTTCCATATCTGACAAGATATTCTAAAACTTTTGAAATTGTTAAAATTCTAAAATAAAATTTTATTGATTTATATAATTCAATAATATTTGAAATTTACCGATGAAGACGATTTTTTTTTCTTGTAAATTATTTTCATCATTTTGTTCTCGATCAAAAAATACAATAGCATCAGTTACTTGTAATCCATCAGTACGCAGACTCTATAATTATTTGATTAAAAAAAAATTTTCAAGTACACAATTGAAAAACAAAAGTCAATAATTCAATTGTATTGCTACATTCTGCATAAGTTTTATTTGCATTGCAACATCTTTTAATGCATTCGATACTTTAGCATTTCCATGTACAAAACCATAGACATGATATGTTAAACCAACATCATCAACAAATTGTTCAACAAAATAACTAGCAAATCTTAATTGATGTCTTGGCATATGTGGAAATAAATGATGAACAGCTTGATATTGAAGACCATCATGAAAAAAATCTAACCATGTTGGATATGCAATATCCATTGTTGTTCGAAGCATTTTCGATGGAAATGATTCACATGGTCCACAATCCTCTGTTGACATATCAAAATGTGATAATGTGATTTCAACATGTAATGGCATCGTTATAGTATTGCATATAAGCATATAAATAAAACATTGTGTATACGTTGGAATATACGATAATAAAATGATATACCAATACCAAAAAATAAAAATACAACATATTTCAATAGAACGATATGGTGAAGAAGGATATTTATATAAATAAATATAGGATTGAAGTTGTAAATTGTAACGCGCAAAACACATAATTAAATAATAAGTTAAATGTTGAAATAGAATTAAACATGATGCAAGCCAAGTATAACGAAGAATACGTTTATGATAAGTCGAATAAAGTGATTGAACAAAACGTGGCGCTACAGCAAAGAATGGGAAATGTTGAATATCTAAAAAAACAATTTACAAATAAAATTTATTCACTAAGAAATCACTTTTGAGGTATTTTTTGCGTCGTGTAGAATGAACTTCTAAATTTCTATAGAAAAAACTCTGTCAGTTTCTGAGATTTATTTAAAAAGAATCTTCTGTTTCATTTCTTGGACCCATATTCATTCTTTTGAATATGGCTCTGAGCCACTCCCATAAGATAATCAATACTTTTTCCCCCTTATTTACATCCAACAATTCATGGATAATGCAAAAGTTTCTAAACATATTATGAATTAAAACTGAATATAGACCCAAGATTTCTCGATGTATTTCGTTTGAGTGTGTCGTGAAGAGGTTTTCGAAGGACAAAAACAAATTTCTGTTATGATTCTATTCATCATAATAGAGTTTTCTTTAATCATTTAAATGAATGTTGAATGATTTATAGATACTTTTAGTCAACGTCTTTGAACATTATCTTATGCTTTTCTTTGAAAACAAAAAAAGAAAGAAATGAATTATTGATCTGGATCATGCTCCGGTGAATTTGTAACAAGGTGATGAATGTTATGATGATGTTTCCACCAACCGATAGATATTCCACCTAATAAATTTCCAATAAAAATTCCAATAAACGAATCAATTCGATATGAATGTGTTATAGCTAAATGGCCGGCATCGTGTGCTGTAAATGTCAATTGATGCCAAAGAGCACCAAGAAATGCTGCTGATAGATAATGATGCCATGATGATGTTGCTCCAATAAAAACATATGCAGCAAAAAATGCAAGTAATAAATATCGAATACATTCCCAGCTATAATCAAAATAATTACAATCGAAAAAACTATATGTAGAAGAAAAAAAAATAATTATTTAAATAAAAATAATCAAATCTTTACCAAGAAATCGAAATTTTAAGTGAAGTTTTCTATATTCTTGAATGATATGTTTATATTTATGAAATTCTTTGTTGCATACTGGAGTTTCATCTATTAAAATATAATGATTATTGAATTCATTTTGTTTATAATAATATTCAATAGGAGGAATACGTGAATGAAAATGATCATGATCTTCATCGACAATATCACCAAAATAATATAAAGGTAATTTATTCTGTAACATATGATCCGAATGATAAGCATTTATTTCATTAGCAGCATCCTATAATTTCGTTTTTGCACTGCTTTTTTTCTTTCAAGTCAAAACTTACTTTACCAATCATATGTAAAATAGCCAATTCACCACCGCGATGATATTTAATCCAAGTATTAAGACGATAGACTTTATTTTGATAAATAATAAGTAGGTCGTCATCTTTAACAATACGCCGAGCGATTTCTTCTCGTGTATATTTTTTCTTTAGAATATTAGTGTTATTCAACATTAGGATACTTGACGAGAAGAAAAGCAAACTTTATCGATCTAAAAACGAATGAAAATAATGAATGATAGATATGCATGTTAAAGAGAAGTGACTTCCTATTATTCAGCGAATAATCTTTTCGTTTTTTTCTCAAAAAAAAGGTAGACAAACAGTAACATTTGAGCATGTATATATGATTATCTTTTCTCTCTTGAGAATCGCTCTATACACCAAACGAATAGAGAGTTTAGTTAAATGCATTCAAAGAAAAGAAAACAAGTAGATGATGAATTGTTGTCTTTGAGAATTTATCGTATCAAATATACGAAATGTACTTGTTATTGATTATTTGAAATATCTATTACATAGAAAACCGTTACAATCGATGTTGACATGTGCATAGCCAACAAACCATCCGAACAATATTACGTACTCGGCATTTACTCAAATATCCAAAAATACGATGTATATCTATTGTTATTCGTGATGCCTAGAACTATTCGACATTCAATTTTAGATAAAGAATTAATAATCTCTTATTTACTTGTTCAAAGTGAAGTATGATTCGCTGTTTTGTATTGGATCATACTACATTATCATTCTGTCATCGATACCTCCCTCTAATGATAAAGTAACATTCTTCAAAGAAATAAAAACCAATAAAAAGATAAATATTTGACATACATAGACAACATCTACATTCAAATAATCAGGGTCAATACTTATATGACTAGCAAATCAGCTGATAGTCACTGAAATTAGTCAAATGTTTTTCTTTATTTAAAAATATCCTATTTTTATTTGATGATAGCCAAATGATTGTGATACGAATTGAATATACATTAATTGACATTTGAAGAGATTGTTTTTATAATCAAAGCTTTACAAATTCTGTAGGGTAGTTAACAAGTCGCTTTCCTAAAAATAAAAAGGTTACATATCTTTGCTACATTTTAACCCAAGCCATTGATTGTTTTTTTGATAACGTTGATAAATCAATATTCGCAATGTATACTATGTAACATTATCTTTGACTTCGGTAGTAAAGAACAGTAATTGTGAACAAGCGATTGAAAACGATATCAGGAGAGAAAAGTTAACAGCGGATTCGAGTATTTCTTGCTGACATTCGCTCATAGACTTGGGCTGGTTTTCAGAATGCTTGGGCTGGATGTAGAATTAAATTCTCTATCTAATGACGGCATTTTCAAGTGGGGTCATCGGACAAAAAGTGAGGGTTTTACCACAAATACTAGTTTTTGGACTCCGACGGATAGTAAGTCCTGCTGACATTCGCTAAGCGACTTGCGTTGAGTCTCAGAGTAGTTGGGCTAGACGCAGAATTAGATTCGTTGTCGATTGATGTTTGTGTATTGTCAAAAGCAATCGTGGATGATTGCGTTATTTAATTTACCTTGTTTATCAGAACTATTTAGCTATAATACGTACGTCGCTAGCTCATGTCGGATAACATGTTCTCACAGAGTACAAGCTGGTTTTATAAATATGAACAGTAATGTTCGGCCGTGCTCTTGTAATCAAAAGCCAATTTATTGTCACATTGATCCGAACCTTGTTGAATAGAGCGGTGTCGCTACTATTAATGAAGTATTAATTATAGGAATGGTATAGGGGAATAAAAATAAATGCACTAACATTGAACTATCGTCATCTACTTGCAGTAACCGTAGTGTATTAATTAAATTAACAGCTACTTGACATCATTAGGATCTGTGCACTATTTCATGTTTAATTAAGATCATGGAATCCTTTTGCATATCGATTTAACACTTAGTTTTGAAAACAGGAACGCCCATTTTTCAAGAACGGGAGGTTACGGAGGCTACAAAAGAATCATTATTCCTGACGACCATCAAACAGCCCACACTAAAATCTCTAATGAAGCAGGCGATCAACACGTCGAAGAACTCAGCAACATAAAACTAACTAAGAAGCAACCCCTTGTTCTGGCACCTGATTGTAACACATATAGAACATCGGCAACATGACTCCTAATCGTCATAGCTATATCGCCCTGTCTTTAGAGATGGGGACGGGGGTCTTCAAAAGTATTCATCATTTTCATAGCTATGGGCCCCCTTTATTTTAGAGATGGGAACTTGGACGTCTTGGGTAGTTTTTAGAATTATCACTCAACAAATCGCTATAGATCGCAGTGTTTCAAGGTATCAATCGCTACAGTTACGATCAAGACTTCTAAAAGCCCTCGAAAACTTTAGTCCTCCCGTCTCTACAAAAAGGAGCGTCTATAGCTATTAAATAATGGGTAATTCGAAAACCGGCGCAAGACCCCCTAGGCCCGTATCTCTAAAAAGGGCTGGATCAGTGAATAGGTATTTAATGATGAATAATAGTAAGGACCGCCGAAGATCCCCTAGTCCCGCCAACTCGAAAAAAGGGGGTGTTTATGTATGAATATTATAAATAATTCTAAAGACACGACATCCCTCTGCCTTTTTCAACTCGAGTGTCTTTTTTTCTTGAAAAGTCAGATTGAAATTAAATACTCCATAGTATGAAAACCTGACAAAGCAATTAGTATGTACTTATAATCTCATCGTTAAAAGTTCTATAAAATGTATTCTTGATGCTTTAAAAGATAATCCGTTAACTCTGAAAAAAATCTATTAAAGAATTTAGGTCAAACATATTATCAATACTTTTTCCTCTTCTGCTATTATGCATTTTCTTCTTCATTAGATGAAGGAAGATTATGCTACAAAAAGGAAAGGAAAGGAAACACGTGAAAAGCATGTAGACGATCTGGTACATGAATTAGTTTAAATTGTAAAAAAATTTTGTTTCATTAATCAATAAAATTTCTCTGTTGTTCGTGAAAATTTCTGTTTCTATGAATATGAACATCACTGCTTCATGCTATAATTTCCACAAAAATATTACAAAAATTGGGTGAGTTACACTGATATATAACTTTAAGCTGTAAATGAACTCTCTTATTACCCATCATTGGGGCATGCTAGCCTCCAAAAAGATGGGTCTTCCATTTAAAGAGATTGGCACTGCTCACCACTAGTCATAACAGCAAAAGGAGAATAAAGTGTCACTGATTACCAATCGAACAAACAGAATCATAATTAATATAAAGTCCCCGACACATTAGAAGACCCGGGGTCTTCTATTCTGTCTTATCGCTCATAAATTACAAGGGAGGTCTTATATTATGTCCCCTAAAAAGTTATATTTTTCAGCAGTCTTTCCAACAAATCTTTGTTTCAATTCATTTTTGTTCAATATAATCGTTAGAAAAATAGTATTTTACTTATTCGACATGTGTATGATGAGAAAGCAACAAATGTTATTCTGTGAAAAAAGAGAGTATATCATTGATAATAAATATTCTTAGAATATTAAAGGCAACGTATCCGAACACTTTGATAAAATGTCCACTAGAATTTTTTTTCTAAAAAATAAGATCTGTCATTGACCAAATTTTAACTTCTCAATAACTAAATAACTCAGAAAAAGAATTAACTTGTTTTGTCCAACTCAATTAAATTAATCGTTCTTGTTTATTTTTGACTATATAGTATTGATGGAATCTGTTCACATGAAAATCTAACAATAGCATATTTATTAGTCTCAAGCCAACGTCAATGAATACGTTTGTATTAAGAATAAGCAATTAATAAAAGAAAGAGTAGTTGGATACACATTTTGTGTTTTCTTCTTGGTCTTTTTTTGAAAAATGGCTTCAGGTTTTATTGAGAATAGAAATGTGTTCTAAGTATCATGATAAGTACTTACAAAAAACCGACGCGTATTAGAGACGAAAACCAAATCGAATTGTCAAATAATCTTATTCGATTGAATTCGTCTGAGGCGAACTGAATCCGATCGAAGATATTGCCGAATCGAGATTTTCTTATTCATTTCTGTCTTGAGCGTTTTTACATGAATTCACGTTTTTTTTTCAATTATGAAAGAATGCTTTGTGATGAATATGTTTCAGAATTTCTAGAAATCCCAGATAATTAGGCTTTTTAATTATTACACAACGAAGTTTCACCTAATATGCTACTATTTTACAAAGATTTGTTCATGCGTTACATCCACGGTTCTGCACTAAGTCCATTATAATCCAAGCCCATGAGAAGTTTTTTTTGTATAGAGAACCATAAAAATTCCTTCTGAATATGCTGAAAAAGAGTACTAAAAAGATTCCATGATATGTGTTCTATAAAGAAATACATTCTTTACTAAACAGTTGTTTCCGATTCATTGTTTCGCAAGACCTTTTTCACTTCGAATTGACGTATCATTTTCATGAAGGAAGCATAATATTGCTTGTACTGACCTAAGATATAATTACGAACTTAAATACTAAAAACTCCAGAAATTATTTGTAAAAAAATCGATTTTATCAGATAGGTCTTCTAATATGTATTTTGCTTCATTTATCCAAGGGGGGTCTTCTATTATGGGGAGGAGTCTTCTAATAGAGGGGGGTCTTCTAATGTGTCGGGGCTTTAGGTTTTTGTCTGAAACGAAAGAAGTATGCCAAATTCGAAATTATCAAAGAAAAATTTCAGCGTCCGCTCAAAATTTAAATACTATGACATATATTTAGTTCTGATATGGTCAACCATTGTAACTGCTAGACAAATCGCGAAATACAACAAAAATGTACATTTTTAAGACAGGTGACTTTTATTCACATTGACCTGTATTTATTTATTGTAAATATTGTTATCTTTTGAAAAATAAATAAAATTTCATTTCAAATTTTCATTTTGTCATTTCTACCGTTGTTGTATTAGTTAATTGTGCTCTTGTTTTTTCGTCTTTATAACGCATAGCACATCGTCGTTTATAAGGTATCCAAATTGTGCAAAGAAGAATTAAGATTTGATAAATAAAAAATAGAGAACAAAATATAAAAAATGCATAACGATCTAAACGACACAGAGAATATTCTGGATACAACGAATGATGAATTTCATTAGTTGTAATTGATGGTTGAGATGCAGTTAAATATATTT